TTTTGGGATGTGGATAATGGCGTTAACTTGCTTAAAATGTCTATTCCTATAAGACCATGGAAGTAGTCGTGGAAATGGAATATCATGAACTGGAATTTTCTATTGTCATTGAATTGTTTGAATATTTGTAGTTCCGTTCTACTTTTAACATGGTGTACGTTTAGTACCGTCTTTATAGGGATTGATGTTTGTATCTCTATCTGGTCGTGGTCCGGTGTGGCATGTGGCCCGGGGGTGGCATGATTGCTGGTACGTTTTTACCAGGTTGGCTCCTAGGGTCTGTATACTAGTTTTGTTGTCCCTGACGATAGTTCAAATTCCTATTATAATAGTTAGAATACCCTCTTTGATTGGCCTGAGAATTTCTGTTTTGGTTGTATCTATTGTTGTTATATTGTGCGAAATTATTTCTCGGTCTAAAATTGTTCATTTGTTGATTGGGGTTGTAATTATTGTTACTGTAAGTATTCGGATTGGTGTTAACTTCCTTGGTAACAGCGTTGGTAGTCTTTGTTATGGTGTCATTTTTTAGTGCGAGAACATTTTGTTCTTGGGTCGCTAAGTTGTGAGCTTCCTGTAGTGAGGTTGGTTCCATGGCTCTTACGACTGTACCTACTTGTCCTTGGCGACTAGTCAGGAAGGTTTGTATGCAGGATTCACTGAAAATTGCCTTCCCGGCTTTTGCCATGATCGGAGTTGATTCGAGAGCGTCTGCGGCTTTGTATAATGCCGACTTTATTTCTGTCACTTGCTTATAAAGTTTGTCCACTGGTAACTTCTTTGTTACTAGGCTGTGGAGTTCGATCAACAGCGCGTGTTGGTCTCGTTTATCGGCGAAGTTGATGGTCAAGGTCTCTTTAATTTCGTCCCAGTTTAGCCCGGGGTCTGATGCAGTTTAGGCATCGTCTTTACCCACTATCTTGTTCCTGATGGCCCTCAAGGGGAACTGGGCATTTGGTGTATGGTCCGTTCCTCTGACGAGCATTAAAATTTTCTCAACATTGTTGATGAATGAGTGCAATTGTTTTTTGTGTCTCCGTCGTAGTCGTGCAGTAGTCGTATTCCGTCCGGTACTCGCAGGGATGTCAATATCTCCCCCGCGCTTGTTGGGATGATGGTGGAGGGTGATGGGGACGAATCTGTAGACGAATTCATATTGAAGCTGTGTATTCCTGTCTGGGCTACTATCTGTTCTGTTTCTAGGTTCTCTTCTCTAGGATCTGTGGTCTTGTTTCTTGATTTGCTCCTGGTGATCGGGACTCTTTTGTCCTTGCCTAGTTTCGACATTCACCTGCTTTTCCTGAAAGTTGTTTTCCTATTGTTCTACTTCTGCCCCTTTTTTTTAATATAGTATAATTTTTAAAGGACTGTGATTTTGATTCTAACGATGCTCGTTATTTTGTTTTTTTTTTTATATCGCGATTTGTGTAAAGTGTGAAATTCTAAATTACAATTACAATGTGTGTAAGACAGTTGTCGGATATAGTGTGTGTATTATACATGGTTATTGGTGGTTGTGTTTTTTCTTTTTTGTTTTATATATATGTGTGTATGTAAGTTGATTGGTAGGGTCTTATTTGTCTAAAATTAAAGCAGGTATGTTTTTGAATGGTTTTAATAACTAGTGTTTTGTTTTTATACCCGATACTCAAAAGGAATCGTTTCCGACCCCATAAAGTATATATATTCTTGATCAGCATCAATAGCCGAGTCGATTGAGCCATGTCTGTCTGTCCGTCTGTCCGTCCGTCCGTCTGTCCGTCCCCTTCAGCGCCTAGTGCTCAAAGACTATAAGAGCTAGAGCAACGATGTTCGGATCCAGACTTCTGTGATATGTCACTGTTACAAGAATATTTCAAAACTTCGCCACGCCCTCTTCCGCCCCCACAAAGAGCGAAAATCTGTGGCATCCACAATTTCGACGATTCGAGAAAACCAAAAACGGTTTCATGGTCGGTTTTGCCAATTGCAAAATGTGATTTCAAGGATCTCAGAACCTATAAAAGCAAGAGAAACCAAATTTAGTCTCCATACTCCTGTGATATCGGACCTTGACCATTTAGTGTCAAAATTTCGCCACAACCCCTTCCGCCCCCACAAAAGAGGAAAATCTGTGGCATTCACAATATTGAAGATTCGAGAAAACTAAAAACGCACAATCATAGAAAATGACCATATCTATCAGATTGTTGGATCTGGATCAGATCGGATAATTTGTATAGCCAAAAGCAACAAATTAATTTGCAGTGGCTACGCAGCGCTCCACGTCACGCTCAGACTGATTTTCTGTCTCTCTCGCACGCACTCTTTGTCGTGTCGTTTAATATTAGCGGCGTCTGCCGGAGGAGAGCCATACTGACTTAGGTTAGGTTAGGTTAGGTTAACCCGGACGGCCCTCAGCGGGGCCGCGCATAGGCCAATATGGCCCTTAGTTATCCGGATGGGGGGGTGTATGAACCGTCGCGGGAGTGTTAATGTGGTTTTAAAAAGTCCCCGAGAATCGAGGTGTTTTTAGCATAGGCCAGCAGTTCCTGAGGCGTCCTTTTGGAGGCATCTTCCAGTGATGCCAACACTGGGGCGCCCAGGTATCTCCTCCTTGCCCTTGAGAGAGCCGGACAGTTGCAGATGAGATGTTCCAGGGTTTCGATAGCCCCAGGTTCCTCACATTTCCTGCAACTGTCTCTGTTGGTGATGCCTAGCTTTGCTGCATGTGCAGCCGCCAGACAGTGACCTGTTAGTATTCCCACCATCAGTCTGCAGTCCTTTCGTGGTAGGTGCAGTAGGTAGTGGCTAAGTTTCTCGTTGCGCTCCTTGCACATTATCTTCGAGGTTCTGCAGGTGGTGGTACTCCTCCACCTGCTATCAGTCTGTGCTCTAGCCTGCTTCTCTAGATCGCCTTGCAGCGTTCTGAGGGAGACAGGCACGTTCTCGGTTCTCCTATTCTCCAGCCCGACGCCCTCCTTAGCTAGTACGTCCGCCGCTTCGTTTCCTTCGATGCCCTGGTGGCTGGGAACCCAATAGATCCGCACTGTCTTTGTCGTGCTTAGGATGTCTAATGCCTCCCTGCTCGCCAAGACACTTCTGGAACTGACCACGGACGACTGCATGGATCTTATCGCCGCTTGGCTGTCGACGAATAGGTTGACCGCATCGTGTGCTCGTTCTGTGAGGAGAGCGACCTCCGCTGCTTTCCCGATGGCAAAAACTTCTGCCTGGAATATGCTGCATGGGTCGGGTAGCTTATACGACAGCCTTATCTCGGGGTCTGTGCAGTATAGGCCCGCTCCTACTCCTCCGTCCATCTTGGAGCCGTCTGTGTATATATTGAGGTGCTCAGTTTGGTCCCTTCCAATCTTCCAGTCTTCAGGTCCCAGAGATGTGGTTGATTTGACGTCAAGGCAAGTTTGGGGGGTCATGTAGTCAGTTGATCTGGTCATTTCCCTGCCGATTGAACTATGCCCGTATCCTTGTGGCGATAGATTTCCTGATGCTATGAGGCGTTGTGCTGCCTTTCCCGCAATCAGGCGAGCTTGAATGTCCAGGGGGTCGATTCCGAGTATGGTTTCGAGTGCTTTTGTTGGGGTTGACCTCAGCGCCCCTGTAATACAGAGCAGAGCCTGTCGCTGAGTCTTCTCCATAAGCTTATGGTATGTCTTCTTTTCAGTAGCCTGCCACCACACTAAGGCTCCATACAGCAGAGTTGGTCGCACCACCGAGATGTAGATCCAGTGCATTAGAGCAGGTGACAGGCCCCATGTGCTGCTGAGCATCTTCTTGGATGCATAAAGCGCAATGGTAGCCTTCTTCACCCTTTCCACTACATTGGGCCTCCATGCCAGCTTGCTGTCCAGTACTGTGCCTAGGTATTTCACCTGTGATTTTGGGGTCAGCCTAGTTTGGTCAATTTTCGGGGGGGTCCATATCGGTACCTTGTACCTCTTGGTAAAGAGGATGAGGTCCGTCTTGTCCGCGTTGATACTGAGTCCTACCTCTTCCGCCCACTCACGTATCTCCCTGAGTGTACGTTCCATTAAGGAGCTGAGGGTCGATGGACATACACCCGTAATAAGTATGCTTATGTCATCTGCATAAGCTGTTATCTTTGGGGCCTTCCTTTCAAATCTCTTGATGAGGTCGTCGACCACCAGATTCCACAGTAGTGGCGACAGGACTCCACCCTGAGGTGTGCCTCTGTGTGCCCCCTTTACCATGGAAGCAGTGCCCCACTCCGATTGCACCCGTCTGCAACTTAGGAGGTTTTTGATCCAGACGTTGATTGCAGGGTGTTGTTATTCGCTTCTAGGCGACTTGTTATTGCGGTTGTGGCCACGTTGTTGAATGCTCCTGAGATGTCCACAAATGCTCCCAAAGCATACTTTTTGTTGTGAAGGGCGCTCTCGATGGTGGCTACTAGCGAGTGTAGTGCCGTCTCCACTGATTTCCCTTTAGTGTAGGCGTGTTGGTTTGTTGACATCAGTCCCTCTACCTCATTCCTGATGTGCAAATCCAACAGCTTTTCTAGTGTTTTTAGTATAAAGGAGGTAAGGCTTATCGGTCTGTAGTCCTTGGGACTCACGTGGCTGCACTTTCCTGCCTTAGGGAGGAAGACAACTCTCGAGGTTCTCCATTGGATGGGGATATAGCCTGTGCTTAGGCATGCTGAGTATATTGCGAGGAGCCATGGGGTGATAACCTCTTTGGTCAACTGCATCATGGCTGGGAATATCCCGTCCAGTCCTGATGCTTTTATGCCCGCGAAGGAGTCTATGGCCCAGTGTATTCTCTTAGTGGTTAACAGACCTATTGGAGGGTGGTGTTCCTCGGTTGCTAGGTCCTGATGCTCCTTGGCGTCAGTGACCTCGGTGCATCCAGGGAAGTGCGCCTCCATTAGTGCTGTTAGGGCTTCTTTGCTGCCCTCTGTCCACTGTCCGGTGTCTAGTTTTAGTTGGCTCTGTACTGACTTAGTATCGGGTATAAATGTAGAGATACGGTCTCCGCAGCAACTCACAACGTTGCCCGAGGGGCGCGTCGAACGCGCAACATTGATGAGTTCGTTGAACGTTCCTTTCACCTGCCCACGCGAATTGTATTAGACGAAACCTTTATACCGTTTAGCTGGACATCACTAGGGGAAGAACATGCCTTAACCAACACAGGAAGAGTGCGTCCAACGACACTAGAGGAAGCTATGGAGCTTTACCAGATTGGTCGGTTTTTAGAGATTGATATTTTGGCGCAAGGCTGTGAGGATTTAATACTCGATGTCCCTTGGTACTTTACCAACAATTTTAAAGTGGGGTTGCCAACCCCATGGCTCCGCGTGGGTGTTTAGACAAGCATGTCAGTACCTACGAGAAGAATTTACCGTTATTAGCACCTCACCTGTCCTGCACCAACTAGATAAAAAGCAACTGTTACATGTTCTGCAGAGTAATTTTTTACAAGCTTCTGAGCTAGAGATTCTGCAGGCTGTTCTTAAATGGGGAGAACAGGAGCTCATTCGCCGTATGGAAGATCGTGAACCAAACTTGTTGTCACACACAGCTCACTCAGTTGCTCGCAAGGGCGTAAAAAAACGTGATTTGAGTGATGTAGAGCTGCGAGACATCATCGCAGAATTATTGCCTTTAGTGCGCATAGACCATGTTTTACCACCACATAGTGAGATACTCGGCCAAGCAACTCGTCGAGGTCTTGTCAGCACGCCACTTTCACATATGATTGGAGATGAACGAGAAAATTTACGTATCAATGCCTGGATACGTAGTGGTAGTAATCAGGGACTCTTTGTAACACCACGTCTCTTTATGCCGTATTTTGAGGAAGTAAAGGCCTTTTTGAAGGATCGATTATCTTCATCTCACGACCAGGTGGAACTAATGCGTATGCGTAGGTCACGACACCCGCCAGATATTCCTGATACCTTGTATATGGTGTCCCACATGAATGCAGCGGCTAATAATGGACTTTGTAGTGTTGTTAATCATGGTGCTATTCATGAAAATATTGACATGATGGTAGGGTCGGCTGTTATACCAGCACCGGATAACCAAACTTTATTGGCAATGCGTAAACGCGAAAATAAACTTCGCCGGTCACCTATGTGCCAGCGTGCATTGCTACTGCCACTTTCATCAGAACATGAAATTGAACGACAAATTCGGCTTCGGGTCGTGAGAGAGTTTAACCTCCTTGATGAAGTATCAGCCAGAAAAGTGATGCTGTTCACAAAGAAAATCCGTGTGGAGTTGCGTCCACTGCTCAAAGCGAAGACAATTTGCTTGAAGATGAAGATCAAAGCCCACCGCCATCACCAGCGGCTACTGGCTCAGTTCCGCAAAACACAACCGTTGGATCTTCTTTTTTATCGTCCTCGTCAATGGGATCGTCAGCATCATCAATCTGTGGCACCGGTGGAGTACACCCCTATTATAGCCAAAATCTCACTTTTCCGCGTCACCAAACAAATGGTCTTTTTGGTGTAGCCAGTATTTTAGCAACCAACTCTGGTCCTGCGCTTCAGTGTAGCTATGCACGTATTTCAGCGTCAGCGCGTCCACGAAATGAACTGCCGGCGTTAATAACTGAAGGGGACTTTCGATTTTCGCATGGAAATAGCTTTGGCTTGGATATGAGTGTTGAGAATGACGCATGTGCTTTGGACTCTGGAAATAGTCATCTTTCAGATATGATGCCGGATGTGGCTATGGCCACCGCATCGTTAGGTCAGCTTCATTTGTCGAATAATACTGGAAATACTAGCGGCCGTAGCGTCGGCAGCAATAACGACATGCCAGAAAGTTTACAATTAGATTTGGGGGATGGTCCAAGCCCTCGCGTAGTTGGAAACGTTCCAAGTGCACTGACCTTGCGAAGTATACACGTAAGTATTTCCTTCTCGGTATTTATCCTAAAATAAAAATTTTCTATTAATTTTAGCACGCTCTGCCACAAAGCAACTATCACCGCTTCGTGCAGCGCTCTAGTTCGCCATTTGATATAATGCGTCATGGACAGTTATCGCCCACATCACACCCTCCAAATCCTGGGTCATTCAACTCTGGACCACCAAGGTTTTTATAGAGGTTGCAAGTGGGCCCAGATCCGGGGCACTTTATTTTGGAATGCCTTTCTAAACAAAAATTAAACTAAAAATGTAATTTAACAATCTAGATAAATAAAATAAACTATTAAATAAAGCTTACGGAATTTTTCTCTTTGGCAAAGGCTTAAAATTAGATAGTATGTATAATGTTAAAAATACTTAATTTGTTTATTAAATCTGCAACCCTTTTGAACCTTTGTTACTTGTTTACCCTAGTAGTTGGCAGATTACAACACACAGTAAATTGACCTTCCTTGCCAAATTCAACCCACCATAAACTTAAGTCGTCGAATGCTTTACCCGCTTAATCTGCCGAAATGTATAAAGTAACTAGACTCAAGATACCTCTTGGTCATATGGTCATATATTTCAGATGTTTTAGATTTTATATAGAAAGATATCTCTCTAGGGAAAGGGAGGTACTGAAGTAGTGTATCTTTCGGCGTCTGGCTCGAATTGGGAGTGTGAGATCGCTCCCCTGCGGTTGGCCGAGGTTTTTTCGTTCTATCAAGTTCCACCAATAGACTGAGCAAGACAAACAAAATAAATGTATGGGACCATATAGTCTGGAAGTGCCAGCTGAAGTTATATACATATGTATATTCATAAATGCAGGTTTCAAGCCAGCCAGATCCAACGCGGACGGAAGAAGGCGCCGACGCCGTCTCGTAGAATGGGACATGCCCTGTAATCTGGAAAAAAATCATAGCTAACTATCATACCCTAACAAACCTAACATATACTATATTAAAACTAGTCTTTAGTCTTCAACACATATGTAGCTATACCCCCAAACCATAATGGCCGAACCGACATTGTACATACATAAATCAGTCGAAAATTTCATATAGCACATAAACTTTATTATAAAGGTTATTATTATTAGGATTATATTTGGTTTTTTTATACCCGATACTCATAATGAGTATTGTGGAGATTTGTGGTGAAAATAGATGTGTGTAACGTCCAGAAGGAATCGTTTCCGACCCCATAAAGTATATATATTCTTGATCACCATCAATAGCCGAGTCGATTGAGCCCTGTCTGTCTGTCCGTCTGTCCGTCCCTATTAGCGCCTAGTGCTCAAAGACTATAAGAGCTAGAGCAACGACATTTTATATCTAGACTTCTGTGATATGTCACTGTTACAAGCCCTCACAAAGGGCGAAAATCTGTGGCATCCACAATTTTAGAGATACGAGAAAACAGAAAATGTTGAATCGCAGAGGATGACTATATCTTCTAGAATGCAAAATCAGAACCAGATCGTATAATTATTATAGCCAGAATCAAGAAAACAATTTCATTCTTTCTCGCTCTGTCTTTCTCTAACACACAGGTTTCATGGTCGGCTTTTCTTATTGCAAAATATGAGTTAAAGGATCTCAGACACTATAAAAGCTAGAGAAACCAAATTTGGTATACACACTCCTGTGATATCGGAACTTGACCGTTTTATGTCAAAATTTCGCCACACCGCCTTCCGCCCCTGCAAAGGACGAAAATCTGGGGCATCCACAAATCTCAGAGAGTATTAAGGCTAGAGCAACCAAATGTGGTATTCACACTCCTGTTCGAACTCACTGTTAAACGTATATCTCGCCCCACCCCCCTCCGCTCCCACAAAAGAGGAAAATCTGTGGCATCCACAATATTGAAGAAACGAGATCGGATCATTTTTGTAGGCAAAAGGAAGAAATTAATTTGCAGTGGCTACGCAGCGCCCGACGACACGCTCAGACTGATTTTCTGTCTCTCTCGCACGCACTCTTTGTCGTGTCGTTCAATAATAGCGGCGTCTGCCGGAGGAGAGCCATACTGACTAAGTATCGGGTATATAGGTATAGTTGCGGTCTCCGCAGCAACTCAAAACGTTGCCCCTCGTTTTGTAATTTAATTGATGTATTGATAATTTGTAAACATTGATGAGTGCGTTGAACGTTCCTTTCACGTGCCCACGCGAATTGTATTAGACGAAATATTATACCGTTAACCTGGACATTATTGATTTGTCACTGATTTTACGCGGTGTTGGATCGGGTACGTCGGCAGGATCACTAGGGGAAATGCATGCCTTAACCAACACAGGAAAAGTGCGCCCAACGACACTAGAGGAAGCTATGGAGCTTTACCAGATTGGTCGGTTTTTAGAGATTGATATTTTGGCGCAAGGCTGTGAGGATTTAATACTCGATGTCCCTTGGTACTTTACCAACAATTTTAAAGTGGGGTTGCCAACCCCATGGCTCCGCGTGGGTGTTTGGACAAGCATGTCAGTACCTACGAGAAGAATTTACCGTTATTAGCACCTCACCTGTCCTGCACCAACTAGATAAAAAGCAACTGTTACATGTTCTGCAGAGTAATTTTTTACAAGCTTCTGAGCTAGAGATTCTGCAGGCTGTTCTTAAATGGGGAGAACAGGAGCTCATTCGCCGTATGGAAGATTGTGAACCAAACTTGTTGTCACACACAGCTCACTCAGTTGCTCGCAAGGGCGTAAAAAAAACGTGATTTGAGTGATGTAGAGCTGCGAGACATCATCGCAGAATTATTGCCTTTAGTGCGCATAGACCATGTTTTACCACCACATAGTGAGATACTCGGCCAAGCAATTCGTCGAGGTCTTGTCAGCACGCCACCTTCACATATGATTGGAGATGAACGAGAAAATTTACGTATCAATGCCTGGATACGTAGTGGTAGTAATCAGGGACTCTTTGTAAGACCACGTCTCTTTATGCCGTATTTTGAGGAAGTAAAGGCCTTGTTGAAGGATCGATTATCTTCATCTCACCACCATCTCACCACCACCACCACTTCATCGCGACACCCGCCAGATATTCCTGATACCTTGAATATGGTGTCCCACATGAATGCAGCGGCTAATAATGGACTTTGTAGTGTTGTTAATCGTGGTGATATTCATGAAAATATTGACATGATGGTAGGGTCGGCTGTTATACCAGCACCGGATAACCAAACTTTATTGGCAATGCGTAAACGCGAAAATAAACTTCGCCAGTCACCTATGTGCCAGCGTGCTTGTTTTGGGTTCACAGATCCTCCCATTTGCATGGGAATAGCTTGTTGGTTTTTCGGCAAATTCGTTTCGGAATTCCCAAATATCCTTATTCACAGGGTCGCCTTTCGGGCTTTCCCCTACTGGTTGTAGTGGCATCACCGTCATCTGATGATCCGCGCACTGTATTGGCTTTTTTCATATTACAATCGCACAACTCTCGATTGTAACCGTTCTCAGTATCTTTTCAATACCATGAATGACCATGAGGTTCCCCGTTCTTTCAACGGGCTTACTACCTCAACTTGTTTGTTTTATTTCAAAAATTCTTAGAAACTTTTTCAGTTTTTTCAAACACCTTGATTTGTTTATTTCAAACATTCTCTCAACTTTGTTTCAGTCGATCTGCTTCATTTCTTGCTACTGCCACTTTCATCAAAACATTAAATTGAACGACAAATTCGGCTTCGGGTCGTGAGAGAATTATCTGATATTCTGGAAAACTCACACCAATCCAGCTAGAAAAGTGATGATGTTCACAAAGAAAATCCGGGTGGAGTTGCGTCCACTACTCAAGGCGAGGACAATTTGCTTGAAGATGAAGATCAAAGCCCACCGCCATCACCAGCGGCTACTGGCTCAGTTCCGGGAAACACAACCGTTGGATCTTCTTTTTTATCGTCCTCGTCAATGGGATCGTCAGCATCATCAATCTGTGGCACCGATGGAGTACACCCCTATTATAGCCGAAATCTCACTTTTCCGCGTCACCAATCAAATGGTCTTTTTGGTGTAGCCAGTATTTTAGCAACCAACTCTGGTCCTGCGCTTCAGTGTAGCTATGCACGTATTTCAGCGTCAGCGCGTCCACGAAATGAACTGCCGGCGTTAATAACTGAAGGGAACTTTCGATTTCCGCATGGAAATAGCTTAGGCTTGGATATGAGTGTTGAGAACGGCGCATGTGCTTTGGACTCTGGAAATAGTCATCTTTCAGATATGATGCCGGATGTGGCTATGGCCACCGCATCGTTAGGTCAGCTTCATTTGTCGAATAGTACTGGAAATACTAGCGGCCGTAGCGTCGGCAGCAATAACGACATGCCAGAAAGTTTACAATTAGATTTGGGGGATGGTCCAAGCCCTCGCGTAGTTGGAAACGTTCCAAGTGCACTGACCTTGCGAAGTATTCACGTAAGTATTTCCTTCTCGGTATTTATCCTAAAATAAAAATTTTCCATTAATTTTAGCACGCTCTGCCACAAAGCAACTATCACCGCTTCGTGCAGCGCTCTAGTTCGCCATTTGATATGATGCGTCATGGACAGTTATCGCCCACATCACACCCTCCAAGTCCTGGGTCATTTAACTCTGGACCACCCAGGTTTTTATAGAGGTTGCAAGTGGGCCCAGATCCGGGGCACTTTATTTTGGCATGCCTTTCTGAACAAAAATTAAACTAACAATGTAATTTAACAATCTAGATAAATAAAATAAACTATTAAATAAAGCTTACGGAATTTTTCTCTTCGGCAAGGGCTTAAAATTAGATAGTATGTATAAGTATGTATATTATCTCTGGTATTTGCGAAGAAAAAACAAGTTTAAGTAATTTGTTTATTACATCTGCAACCCTTTTGCACCTTTGTTACTCGTTGACCCTAGTAGTTGGCAGATTGCAACACACCATAAATTGACCTTCCTTGCCAAATCCAACCCACCATAAACTTAAGTCGTCGAATGCTTTACCCGTTTAATCTGTAGAAATGTAAAAAGTAACTAGACTCAAGATACCTCTTGGTCATATGGTCATATATTTCAGATGTTTTCGATCTTATATATAAAGATATCTCTCTAGTGAAAGGGAGGTACTGAAGTAGTGTATCTTTCAGCGTCTGGCTCGAGATGGGAGTGTGAGATCGCTCCCCTGCGGTTGGCCGAGGTTTTTTCGTTCTA